TCCCATGCCGTTTCAGGTACGCGCTCTTCAGCGACGCCGCCGAACCGCCCGCCGCGGCCTCAGCAAACAACTTCCGCTGCACCCGGCCGTACAACTCAGCGTAGGCGTCCAATGCAGCATCTCCCACCGAACGGTTGACGCTGCCGTAATCGGAAATGCGCGTTTGATATGTGCCAGTCTGATTCATCAGCCTTCCTGCGCCGCCGCCAGCGCCCGTTCCGCACGCCGCCGGGCCGAACGCCGTCCATAGAGCCGAGCGCACAGCGAGGTCATCACCTCGGTCACGTCCCGCACCAAGTCATCCTCCAACTCACCCTCATCCATCACCAGGATGCGGGCTCCCCGCCCGGCCAGCGCAGCCTCCACGTACTCAAAGCCGAAACGGCTGAGTCGCTCCCGATGCTCCACCACTATCGTGCCCACCGTATGGTCCGCCACCAGACGCCGCAACCGGCGACGGTTCCCATTCAGACCGGACCCGATCTCCTTGACCACCTCGTCCGGCCGATAGCCCTGCTGCGTCGCCCATTCCACGACCCGGCCCACCTGCCGGTCCAGGTCCTCCTTCTGGTCTCCAGAGGAGACCCGGGCATATACCACGCAACGTCCTTCGTTTTCAGGAGGCACCACCACGTAGTAGCGTCCATTGGGCAACCGCTCGATCTGAAGTTCTGGTGGCAGCTTGCCGGTGAGATGCAGGCGGGAGGTGGTCGCCTTGTCGAAGCCGTAGAGGCGTCCCCAGGCCGTCAGGCTGATGCGTCGACTGATAACATCCATAATTAACTATAATAGACTTAATTGGGAACAGTTGCCGACCCTTGGCCCTGTCTATCTTGAGTTGCTTGTTGAACTTCTTGACGGCACTGACGGCCAGGCAGGCGTCGCGTATTGCGTTGCTCTTGACCTCGTAGGGGTGGGTTTTGTCCAGTCGGGTAGTTTGCCCAGGATGTCCTTTTTGATTCCGAGCCAGGAGGCTTTGGGAGCGCTGTCGGCGGTGAGGAGTTCGATGGTGCGGTTGTAGGTGAATCTGGCGGCGTCAAACCAGAGTTTAAGCTTGGCTTTCTGTTGCCGGTCTGGGCAGACTCTTATCTTCCTGGATTTTCTTCCGGTACCTTCTGAGTCCGTTTGCCCTTGCCGAGAAGACAGTAAGGATGGCGAGTAGATCCTGGGTGAGTTCCTCTGGGGGGCTGAGATCTCGCTGGTTGAGAACCAGGAGTTCGCCACCGTTTTGCTCGAGCATTTGCTCAATGAGCTCGGTGCCGAACCGGGCGAGCCTGTCCCGGTAGGCAACCACAAGTGTGAGCTTATCGCCGCGATGTAGTCGTTCCAGTATGGTTGCAAGTCCCTTTCGGCGGTAGTTGAGTCCTGAGGCAACGTCGGTGATGATTTCAGCGTTGGGGTACTGCTGTTGCATGAAGGCGACCTGCCTTTGGAGGTCGCCGGTCTGCTTGTGGCTGGAGACCCGGCAGTAGCAGATGGTGGTGCTGGTCTTGGAATTACCGAGGTAGGTCTGGACGTCATATCTGCGTTGTCCGCTCTGGGTTTTGATTGATGGGATTATTCCGGCGTCGGCGTATCGGCGCAGGGTGTGAGGGTGGAGGCCAAGTATCTTGGCCGCTTCCCGTGAGGGCAGGTACTGCATATAGCAATTATAAAGGTTATTGCGCGTCTATTACCATTATATGCTACTGCAGTTTACGGTCGTTGCGACTAAAGTCAACCCTTTTTACAACGGTCTCGCTTGACCAAGCAAACCAGGCACAATACCATCAGGCCAAGCAGGAAAATCGGAGCGGGAACATGATCACCAGAATGGAGAAAGTGGCCCAAGACGTGGTACTGACGGCTGCGAGGAAGGCGGGCACCGCGCCACAGAGCGCTCTCGACCAACAGACGTTCAAGGCGGCGTTTCAAGCAGCGTGGCCGATCCCCGACAGCGCTCGTCCCATGAACGACGCTATCAACACCGCCGCCCAAGCAGCTAGCAACTGTACTACGCAGGACTCGGATACTTGGAAAACCACACTGAACCAATTCTGGCACCCGGCAGTGAGGGAAATAGTCGACGAATACCTCACCGCCGCCCGGCACAGCTTCCGTAAGGGCGAATCCCTGGAGGGGTCGGAAATCCTGACCGACGCAGTAAGAACCACCCTAGGCAGCATCGCCGCATCCCGAAACTGGCCCCACAGCACTGAAGAAGACCTATTCAGTACGGCTGCCGCCCTGGGCAGCGGGACCGGCTGGCCCCAGTCAACAGAAGACTTCAGCAAAGCCCTCAGCAACAGGTCCAAAGAAGGACGGCACTGGGTTCCGCCCTCGGCGCCAGCATGGGGCTGCCGGAAAGCATTACCTTCGGGACATACCAAGGAGACCCGGAACACGCGGAGGAGAATGGCTTGTCCTTCGCCGGAACCGTCGTTGAACTCGCCAACCACCTGGCAGGGTCGGAGCCTGCCATAGCATGAACCAGCACGAACACGGCCAAGAGGCCCGGGAACTCATAAGACGGGCTCAAGAGGAGTCAGCCAACGGCGGCAACCACCGGATTGCCGCCGAATTCTTATGGGGCGCTTTCGCCCACTGCCTGATCGCGGTCGCACTGAACGAGGTAATCCACCATGACAGCCACGGAGCGTTCAGACAAATCACACAGCGCATGGACGCCGCCCAAGGTGGCAACCAATGGCGCTCATGCTTCGGATCAGCCGAAAGGCTCCACAGACACTTCTACCACGGACACCTGACCAACCGCCTGCTACAGACCTACAGCGAAGACACCTCCCATGGCACCGCGGAACTGCTGAGAATGCTGTGAGCAAACCCGTCGAATACCCTTCGATAATGCAACACCGCCGATGCCATATCCTACGGACGGCTGACGCCCGGCCAAGGCCACCCACGAGGGACAGTCCCACGGCGACTCCGGAACAAACCGTTATTCAGAATCTGATGAAATCTGATACTCCAGCTTTGCAGGAGACCAGGACAACTTGCAGACCCACTTGACGCTTCACAGGCCGCTGCCGGCGTAGCCGGACCTACGCAGCCTCCACATCCTGACCGGGAAACTGAAACCCGGTCTGCTCCAAGTTCAGGGCCGCGTTCAGATCCCTGTCATTCAGGGCCCCGCAGCCAGGGCAGCTCCAATGCCGCAAAGAGTGAGGTCACCATTCTTGTACCCGCAGCCGGAGCATAACCTCGATGATGGGAACCATCTGCTGACCTCGATAACCTCGGCACCGTACCAGAGACATTTGTAGAGCAGCTTCCCCAGGAAGCCCGCCATGCCAGCGTCCGCCAAGGCCCGGGCCAGACGCCGGTTCCTCATCATCCCGCTCACGTTCAGGTCCTCTATCACCACACGGCCCGCCGACTTGGCTATCATCGTAGTGGCCTTGTGATGAGTATCGCTCCTCACATTGGACTGCACGGGCATGGAGACGCCGCCTCCTGGCGTACAGACGCTCCCTCCGGTTGCTGGACCGAGCCCTCCCATGGACGTTCTTGGACCGCGCGATGGACTTGTCAATTTTCCTCAGGCGTTTCAGAACCGTCCCCAATGCCTTCGGATTCTCCACCACGGTTCCTTCGGAGCAGACGGCCAGCCTCCCGACGCCGACATCCACACCGATGGTGGGTCCATCCTTGACCGGAGTCACCGGTTCTCCAGTGTCAACAGAGAAGCTGGCAAACCACCGGCCTGCCGTCCGGCTCACGGTCACCTCGCAAATCCGGCCCACGAACCTGAGCCGCTCCACCATGGCCACTCGCCCGATCCTCGGGAGAATGACGGTCCTGCCATCCACCCGGACCGTGGCCGGACCATTGTCAGCCCGGAATCCCTGCTCGTGACGACGCCGCTTGAAGCGGGGGAATCCCACACGTCTGCAATTGATGCCCTGCTTCAGCCTCCTGCGGTACTCGCCCCACCTCGAGCTGGCCTGACCCAGGTCGATGATGGCGTACTTGGCCGCGTTCTGGGATAGCGCGCAGGGCCCAGGGCGCGATGACCCGCTTGACCAGGTTCCACCTGGGACGGAGTGTCCTCTCAGTGAGCCATTCGCCCATCTCAAGACCGGCCTTGAATTCTCCCACCGCCCAGTTGTAGGCGAAGCGAGCAAAGCCAGCGTGCTGCAGGAACAGGGATTCCTGCTCGGAGGTTGGCCTGAGTGCCACCCGGTGGGACTTCAGCATGAAACAATGCTGAGACCTCATTCCCTGTGGCTGCAACCGGCAAATGTCATCAAAATTGCGGGCGATCAAGTTACATCAGATACCAACAAAAACCAGTAGGCTGTAATAGGTTCTCGTTAACTGTTAGGAGCGCCAAAAGCTCGAGACAGCTACCGCCCGGGAGTCCCACCCGGACATACCGAACTGGTCCACACCCAAGCATCATCACGAGCCTGCCCGTGAGTCAGCCTGAACAGGATTGGAGTTGCGTTTCCGCTTGTCCATCCGGCTGCGACGGCCTCCTCACCATCACCGACACCTGGAATAACGAATAACGCTGATTCCCTTGTAGTCCACGGGAATGCTCCCCACTCCTCCACGCCATGCCTGACAGCTCCGTCGCCCTGGCCTACGCCGACGACTTCAGCTACCGCCGCCCGGACAGTACAAAGACGGAACCGTCCCACGCTTTGATATACCAACTACACCAACGGCCCGGCCGTAAATTTTGCTCACGACCGGGCCATCGCACAGGATCGCTGGAGGATCCCATGCCTGCAGAATATACCACGGACACTCCGGACATCCCCACCCCTGTGGTAGTTAACTTTCCTGGCGCGTTGTCAGTTCCGCTTCCAGTTCTCGGACACGCTCCTCAGCGGCGATGCGCGCCTGACGCTCGGCCTCGAGGGTGTTGAGAGTCTGGTCCAGGGTGTCGACAGCTTGGTCGTGGGTGAGGAGGTATCGGATACAAATTCGCTAACAAACGCTGAGGTTTGTTGCGATGCACCCTGAGACGTGCTGTCTCAGGGAGGGTGTATCTCCCAAAGCGCGCAGGAATATCCCACGCGCGCCGTTGTGGTCCCGGTCCATCCTCCGTCCGTCGCAAGACGTTACCGTCTTTCTTCCGCCCAGCTTGTGGTTTACCTCCCCGGTCCAACTCACTGTCTTTGAGGTGTATGCCTCGTTGACGATAAGCACTGTCCTGCCGTTCTCGGAAGCCTTGTGCTTTCAGGAAGTTCCTGAACCGGTGGTGGGCGAAGCTCAGCAGGTTGCGGACTGTCTTTGACCTGATCCTGCGCTGGCCCCTGGTCACCATCCCTGATGTCTTGAAATCAGGCAGCAGTATGACGTCGAAGTTGTCGACCAGGTACCGGGCGGTTTTATGGTGGAGTTCGTTTATCAGGTTCTGAATCCTGACGGTCATTCTTTCGGCGGCCCTGCGCATGTTGCGCCGTTTTCTTGACGGCGCCTGCGTGGCACGGGACAGCAGATTGTCCTGGTGCTGGCACAGCCTCTGAATTCGTCCGAAATCCTGTTCTCCGAGTTTTCCGCAGCCGTCCTCGGAGAACCATGTGATGAAGTTCCTCACTCCCGGGTCCAGCGCCACCACCCTCACTTGGTCTGGTGCCTGGGGCCTCAGGTTGCTCTCAGTGATGTGGGGTCCCATCTTCTTGAAGGGCACGCTCAGGTGGTATTGGTGGTGCCTCAGTGTGAGCTTGGCATCGCCGTGGGCGTGGGGAATTGGTTCCCTCCTTTTCAGTTCTCCCAGCAGGGTGTGGTATACGCCCCGGTGGCTCAGTGCTGAGGCGTGTATGAAGATGGTCTGGCTGTCATCTCTCCGGGAGCGGAAGTGGGCGTGGGCGTAGTCCTTCTTGGAGCCTGATGCCCTTGGCCCTGTCTATCTTGAGTTGCTTGTTGAACTTCTTGACGGCACTGACTGCCAGGCAGGCGTCCCGGACTGCGTTGCTCTTGACCTCGTAGGGGGCGGGCTTGGTCCAGTCGGGGGCAGTCTGGTGAGGATATCCTTCTTGATTTGTCAGCCAGGACGCTTTGGGGGCGCCGTCGGCGGTGAGGAGTTCGATGGTCCTGTTGTAGGTGAACCTGGCGGCGTCAAACCAGAGTTTAAGCTTGGCCTTCTGTTGCCGGTCTGGGCAGATTCTTATCTTCCTGGATTTTCTTGCGGTACCTTCGGAGTCCGTTGGCTCTGGCAGAGAAGACAGTAAGGATGGCGAGTAGATCCTGGGTGAGTTCCTCTGGGGGGCTGAGATCTCGCTGGTTGAGAACCAGGAGTTCGCCACCGTTTTGCTGGAGCATCTGCTCGATGAGTTCGGTGCCGAACCGGGCGAGCCTGTCTCGGTAGGCAACCACAAGCGTGAGCTTATCGCCTTGGTGAATTCGTTCCAGTATGGTTGCAAGTCCCTTGCGCCGGTAGTTGAGTCCGGAGGCGACATCGGTGATTACCTCGGCGTTGGAGATATGTTGTTGCATGAAAGCGACCTGGCGTGGAGGTTGCTGCAAAAGGGTGTTCCAAATGAGTAACAATGGTTACATTGCCAGCGTGAGCTGGGTGTTGGCCTCTGTTCTCGGCTTGGTTCTCCCTTCATCCGGGGCAGTTTCACCGGCGGTTGAATGCCGCTGGCCAGAGCTTGCCCCGTCCGGGAGCATCACATTCTCGCCCACCGCGAGTAGCGCAAGTTTCAGCAGGTTGCGAGCTGCATTCTCGTTGCGGTCGTGAGTGACGCCGCAACTGGGACATGTCCAGATGGGTTCCTGCCCAGGTCCTTGTTTACCTCACCACAGGCTGAGCATGTCTTGCTGCTGGGATACCGGCGGCTGGCTGCCACGATTTGCGTGCCGTACCACTGGGCCTTGTAGCGTATCTGGGCCAGCAGTCTGGACATGCCGGCGTCGGCCAGGGCCTTGGTTGCAGTCCGGCCCTGATCATGCCTGCGACGTTCAGGGTTTCGATACCCAGGGTGTGGTACTTGCCGACCAGGGCCCGGCTGACCTGATGGTGCGCGTTGTTGCGCAGTCCCGTGGCCCGGCGGTGAGCACTGTCGATACGGCGTTGCGCCTTCCACCAGCCCCGGCTGCCTTTGGTGCGGCGGGCCTGTGCCTTTGCCAGCGTTTCAGGCGGCGCTGTGCTTGGTGGTAGCCGCGGGGGTTGTCGTAGGTGACGCCGTCGCTGTCGACCGCCAGTGGATTGATGCCCACGTCGACGCCGCCGACCGATTGAGTTTCTCGGCAGGGGGTCTGTATAGGCGGTTTCCAGTAGGCGACGCTGGCGTACCAGCGTCCGTTGCGCCTTCGATGGTGACCTCGTATGGGATCCCCTCCCGCAGTTCCGGGTCAATTTGACGCTGCCCAGGTAGGGCAGCCGTATGCGGCGGTGTCCGTCGTATTGGATCTTATTTATGCCCGAGGCCGCGGAGGAACGAGCCGGTGCCGGTGAGTCTTTTCTTGTGGAAAGTGGGTTTGCGGGATTTGAGTTGTTTGTTCCGCCACCTTGAGTGGGCGTTGCGGTAGTTCCGGCAGGCGCCCTGGGCAACGAACTTGCTGACGCTGGGTGACAAAACCCAGGCTGCGGTTCGTCTTCTTGACGGCGTTGAATTCCTTTTCCAGTTCATGGGGCGTGAGCCAGAGGCCGCGTCTCGTCCCGCCTGGTCGTTGGCGACCATGCGGTTGTAGACGAAGCGGGCGATGCCGACGGCGCGTCTGGCGTACTTTCTCCTGCCGGTGGGTGAGCTCGAGTTGGACTACGAGGGCGGCGGCCAGCCATCCGTCGGGACAGGAACTGGGCTGTTTTTGTTTCTTTCCCTTGAGGTCAGCCACTGGCAGCATCCATTCCCCGTAGGGGCTTTTTCATGTGCGGGCGGCGTATCCGGCAGTTGTGGGTCAGATGTTGGAGTGTGGACTGTTGCATCGGATTCTCAGCTTATCTGCTGTCTCGCAGCCGTGTCCATGGCCTTCTGTCAGTGGCTGGTCACTTTGTGCCTGACCCTGGAGCTGGTCAGGCACCGTTGGTGCTCCAGCACTATCTGGGAAACGAGTCAGGGGGTTATGTTGCGCTTGCCAGACCCAGTAGGTGAGGCGGATGTAACTGTCCTTTCCTATTGCTACTCGTTGTACTTGTAATCACATCAGCTTCTTTCAGGGCCACAGATTTAACCCATCCCACTGTCGACAGACTTCGTAGACGTCGAAACGCAGGGCCGCAAAAATAACAGAAGCCGTGTCGATCGACACCGGCTTCTTACATGGCATGGCCAGTGGTGTCCGTCACGGCAATCCTTTTTCGTTCTGTACCGGTAAATCAACTCGTTAAGAATTTCGCCCCCGCTCTGCCCTCCCATGATGCCACGTGCTTTTAACCATCGCCACAGTTCACGGTCGATCCCCCTGATGGAGAGTTGGCTTTTGATGTCGGGTTCGTAGCAGGATGTCATCTCCAGTTTTCCACCCAACCAACCAGTCGTATCGCTCTTATACCGGTCGATTAGCTCATTTATAACTTCGCCCGTGACCCTGTCTTCGAGGGCGACGTGAGCTCTGAGCCACTTCCACAACTCCCTGTTAATCCACTTCACAGGGAGGATTTGATGGTAATCACGTTTATATGATTTGGAGGTAGACATTTACAACCTCGCGTGGCACTCCAGAATCGAGAATGGGGCGTCCTAGAGTGGACGCCCCATGATGGGTAGCACTTGCCGCACCTGCGGGGTATTCGGGGGTTAGTTGCCCTGGCGGCCTGCTATGAAGGCTCCGCCTGCGGCGACCACGCCTACGATGGCGATGATCAGGGCTACGATGGTGAGGACTCCGCCTCCGCCGCCTGCACCCTGGGCGCCGGCAGGACCACCGGGTCCCGGAGGACCGGCTGCACCGGAGGGACCGGCGTCGCCCTTGGAACCGTCGGAGCCGTCGGAGCCGTCGGAGCCGTCAGCACCGGCGGAGCCGTTGGAGCCGTTGCGTCCGTTGGAGCCGTCAGAGCCGTCTTCGCCATCCGACCCGTCGCGGCCGTCCTTGCCGTCCTTGGGCATAGGCATGGCCTCCATGGCTGCGGCCATGGCCTCGGCAATCGCCTCGTCGACGATGGCCTCGACGCTCTTGACGGGCACGACCGGCTGCACCGGCGTGACTGCAGTGGCGCCGGGGGTGGTGGGCTTTGCCGGCATGACCATCATGCCGTCGCCCTGGGCCATGAGGCTGGCGATCTTGACGGTGCTCACTTCGCCGACCATGACCTCGCCGGGGTCGGACGCGGTCTTGTACATCATGGCCTCGTCGCCCTCGCCCATCATGAACTCAAACATGATCATGGCGCCCTGTTCGCCCATGACGTCGACGCTGAACTTGCCGTCCATGACGGTGCCGGTGCCGGCCTTCTCGCCGTCGATCATGGCGATGACCATGGTGCCGTCCATGGCCGGCTCGCCGTCGATGGTGGCCTTGACCGACCACCTGGAAGGGCGGGATGGGCGGCGCGTCGCCGCCCTGCGCCAACGCTGCGATGGGCAGCGAGGCCAGCAGAGCGATGACGCTCAGCAGGGCCAGAATTCTGGTTATGGTCATTCCTTTCCTCCCGTTGATCCCTTGATTAACGGTTTGATTGTGCGCCCGGGAGCGGGACGGGCCCGCTACTGGGCTGGTGGGAAGCCGCCCCGGCTGCCCGGGACGGCTTCCGCTGGGTCCGTGATTCAGACCGTACCTGTTGGGTGTGGCCCTACTCTATGGCTACCGGGTTCGAGCCTGGGTAGAGGGTCTCGCCCTGGAAGGAATCCTGCTCGGACATGATGATGGTAACGATCTGCCCGCTGGAGACCTCGCTCAGGGTGTTGAACTCGGCGAACTCAGGGGACGGGTCGAAGAACGACCAGCCTTGGGTCTGCCGGTCCAAGTACCAGACGCGGGTGAGGGAGCCGTTCTCGATGAGGTCGGCGAAGGCCTCTTCCGAGTCGCGAGTGATGATGTCCACGATCTGGATTACCTTGCGAACCTTGGCATCTTCTTCGCCCTGGGTCTGGACCACTGGGCCTCGACCGTGTGGCTGCCGGGCCTGAGCTGCGGCACCAGCACGTCTTCGATGGTGAAGGAACCGAGGCCGTCGGTCTCAACGCCCTGGCCGAGACGCCTATGTCAGCGATACTGACGTGTACCAGGTGAAGAGGGGCATGTTATGGCCCTCTATGGTGATGCGGCCGCCAGCCGAAGCGCTTCCGGCGTGATGACGAGTTCCTGGGGAGGCAGCGCATGAACGGCCTTGGTCTTGTACTTGTTCTCGTTCGCTGCCGATATCGCCAGGATGTCCTGCTCCTCGCCGATTTCCGCGTTGCTGGGAACCGTGAAGGAGGACCGGAACCGGCCTGCCGAGTCGGCCAGAATGGCGGACAGGAGATCGTCGTCGTCGTCGTCGTCGTAGTAGAGAGACACGACGCGGCCAGCGGGAAGTTCCTACCGACGACGGACACCGTGGTGCCGCGCCGGCTCACGGGCGGATCAATGGTGATCTCGGGTTCGGGGTAGGTCATATGGCCTATAGCGATGCGGCCGGTGTGGTCCTTGACCTCGACCCGGTAGGTCCCGGGATCCAGTTCATTTTCCGCTACCTGGCCTTGGGGTCTACATAAGTGGATTTGACGACGAAGGTGTTGGTGAAGTCGCCATTGGTGTCGATGGTCAACTCGGAATACACAACGCCGCCAGTGGTTTCCGAACGATTTCGATGTCGCCAACCGTGACGTATTGGATCTCAGCAGCAACGACTCCGTTCGCATCTGCTGTCGGGTTTTCATCGGAGAAGCCCTTGACCTTTACGGTGAATTGCTGCCCGAGAACGACCGTGTCGGGGATCCAATTCGATATCCAGGGCATCAACGATGACGGAGCCCGTGGCACTGCATCCCTCGCCACCGGCGGTCAGGCTGCCTGCTGTTCAGTGGGTTCCAATGACCTTCAATTGCTGCTCACCCAAGCGAGCGGCATTGGGCAACAGGATATCGATTTCGCCATCGCCATCGTCATCGATATCGATAGCGCCAGCGCCATCGAAGGCGGCTAGTTCGTCGCCGACAGTTACCCTGGCTACGCTCGTCCGTAGTACCAGTCTTCGACGAGGATGGTTATCTCATCGCCCTGCTTTCCGCTTTCTTCATCCGTTTCGATGGTGGGTGTGATCTGGAAATAGGCGTCCGAGTCGGTGGTCCTTCCGGTACCGTCAACGATGGCGATCCGGTTCAGGCCACGCAGAGCGTCGGTGGTAATGCGTAATCGGAAAGCGGGTTCATTGTACTGTTCCTCGTCAACCTGTGTAACGCCAGCGATGAAATCGAGGAAGAGGTGTCTACTGTCGACAGAGATCTTGCCTCCGGATGATTCGGCATTGCCCAGCTGATGTCGTTTCTCGTTCTTCGCCGTCGTCATCGACGACAGTCCTTGTCGC